GAGTAGGCAATAGTGCTCATTTGCGCGTGGAGTGTGTGGGTAGTGTCAATCTGGCATTCCATATGGCAGGAGGCCGCTCGGGAGAAGTGGATTTTTGTGCCCAATTGACAGACGTGTACGTGGTGCCAGGAATTTCGTTCAACTTGTTCTCCCTGCACCAAACGCAGAAAAAGCACAGGATAGTGTTGGATGAGAGGGGTGTGCACCTTTTCGGCGGTCGGCTTAGTTTCGCATATTCGGATATCGGATGCTCTCTATCGGCCACCCGCTTGCCCCCCTCGTACCGCGACGGTGATGTAATCCCCTCTACCGTTGTCCCTCCCCCCGTTGTCCGCCAAGCGTCTCCGCCTGGCGTTGGCACTGGCCTTTTCGCTCGCCCAAAACCCCCCTCCCTCTTCTCAGATTTCAGGATCGGGTGCAGGGTACGGTCCGAGTTCGAGCTTCCCGTCCATCGGTACCGCCGGTGTTGTACCTTCGACTTCGAGCTTCCCGTCCATCGGTACTGCCGGTGTTGTACCTTCGGCTTCGAGCATCCCGTCCACCACTTCCGGTGTAGTACCTCAGAGTGATGTTTCCCCGTCTATCGATGTTGATGTAGTGCCTACGTCAATCCGAGATTTTCAGCCTGCCCTAGCCGCAGCCATCGCCTCATCCGACGTCCTGTCCCCCTCAGTCGTGAACCCGAATGTGTCGCGAGATTTAGAGATCATGCCCCTTGAGTCCCAGGATAATTTGCCGTTGATGGACATGAGTATGTTCTTGGATGTAGGCTTGGACAAGACTCGGTCCCACCGGGTGACTTTTATCCCGACCCATTAGGCGTGTGTGAGTCCGTGAAGCCCCCCGTTGCGTTCGCTGTGATGCAAGATGAGTTGGACGCGCTCAAAAACTTCGTTGCCGAGTGCCGTGTGAAGCAAGATGTAGGTCCCCCCTCCCTTTCCCATGCTTTGGCGATTATCGCCCCCGGTGGTCCAGCGTTCACTGTAGGAAAACCCACGTCCACCATCGACATTAATTTGTTCCACGCTTCCACCGGCCACGTGAATGAATTTTCGATGCGGGAAACCGCCAAGCAGCAGGGTGTTCAATTGGTGGGGGAACTGCAGCCATGCGTCGGCTGCATCGAGGCGAAGGGCAGGAGGGCCCCGGTGCCGCGGCGTGGAGTCACCCGCGCGGCGGTACCGTTCGGCAAGGTGCACATCGACATCACCGGCCCGTACTCTGAGGCGTTCGATGGTTCCCGTTACCTGATCATGTTCGTGGACAGTGCGTCGCGGTGGCAACTGGCGTACGGCATGCGGGCCAAGAGCGACACCCTGACGTACACGCGGCGTTTCCTCGCCGACCTGAACGGCAACGGCCCTCTGGGGTGTTTCCGCATGGACAACGCGGGGGAGTTCACGAGTGCTGCCTTCGTCGCGTTCTGCGACGCCGCTGGCATCCGGCGCGAGTACACCGCGCCCGACACCCCAGCCGGTGTTGTACCTTCGACTTCGAGCTTCCCGTCCATCGGTACTGCCGGTGTTGTACCTTCGGCTTCGAGCATCCCATCCACCACTTCCGGTGTAATACCTCAGAATGATGTTTCCCCGTCTATCGATGTTGATGTAGTGCCTACGTCAATCCGAGATTTTCAGCCTGCCCTAGCCGCAGCCATCGCCTCATCCGACGTCCTGTCCCCCTCAGTCGTGAACCCGAATGTGTCGCGAGAGATAGAGATCATGCCCCTTGAGTCCCAGGATAATTTGCCTTTGATGGACATGAGTATGTTCTTGGATGTAGGCTTGATGAACGGACAAGACTCGGACCAACCGGGTGACTTTTATCCCGACCCATTAGGCGTGTGTGAGTCCGTGAAGCCCCCCGTTGCGTTCGCTGTGATGCAAGATGAGTTGGACGCGCTCAAAAACTTCGTTGCCGAGTGCCGTGTGAAGCAAGATGTAGGTCCCCCCTCCCTTTCCCATGCTTTGGCGATTATCGCCCCCGGTGGTCCAGCGTTCACTGTAGGAAAACCCACGTCCACCATCGACATTAATTTGTTCCACGCTTCCACCGGCCACGTGAATGAATTTTTGATGCGGGAAACCGCCAAGCAGCAGGGTGTTCAATTGGTGGGGGAACTGCAGCCATGCGTCGGCTGCATCGAGGCGAAGGGCAGGAGGGCCCCGGTGCCGCGGCGTGGAGTCACCCGCGCGGCGGTACCGTTCGGCAAGGTGCACATCGACATCACCGGCCCGTACTCTGAGGCGTTCGATGGTTCCCGTTACCTGATCATGTTAGGACAGTGTGTCGCGGTGGCAACGGGCGTACGGCATGCGGGCCAAGAGCGACACCCTGACGTACACGCGGCGTTTCCTCGCCGACCTGAACGGCAACGGCCCTCTGGGGTGTTTCCGCATGGACAACGCGGGGGAGTTCACGAGTGCTGCCTTCGTCGCGTTCTGCGACGCCGCTGGCATCCGGCGCGAGTAAACCGCGCCCGACACCCCGAAGCAGAATGCGGTCGTTGAAAGCGCCATCTGGCGAGCCATGAAGGGGGGCCACGCCGCCCGCCGCCACGTCCTCTCCATGGGCCACTTCGACCTCGCCTCTATCCCCGGTATGGACGCCAACAGACACCGGCTGTGGCTTGCATCGGCGATCTGGGCCTCCAGCTGCTTCAACCGTTCCGCGACGTCGGCCAACCCGGCCTGGATGTCGCCGTTCGAGGCCTTCTTCGGACGCAAACCGCCGCTCAAGGTCGTCCCCTTTTTCCAGGAGGGGATGATGCGCGTGAAGCGCGCCAGCAAGGCGGACGTCCAATCCGTTCGTTGCTTCTACCTGCACGGAGCGCGCAACCACTCCGACGCCACTGCCGTCGTACTCCGCGCCGACACCGGAAGGATCTGCCTGTCCAACAACGTCGTGTGGATCAACCGCCGCACCGTCGTGCCGGCGCCGGTACCGGCCAACGGGGGGGGTTCTTCGGTCACCGCGGCGCCCTCGCCGGCTGCCACCGCTCCTACAGCCGCTGCCGCACCGCCACCGCCATGGACATCGCGGACGTACACCCACACCCCGCCCACAGCGACTACCGCTACGCAGCCGCCCGCTTTGCCGCCGCCAGCTTCTCGGTCGATCTTCCCAGGGTCCGAAGCTCCGTCGCCGATATCCACGGCGTCGTC